TGGGTCTCTGTCTTCCGCATTTCCTGTGCCTTGTGCTTCAGGAGACAGGCAGGCCAGGGGAGAGGGACACTGTACCCCCATCTTGGAGTAGGCCATCAGGAAGGGACAGCGCGACAACTCCATGGGAATGTTTTTAAGGGCAGAAGAACAGGCTAGAGCGTCACCCGGGTCCTGCCATTGTGGTGATTTGCTTAAGTTCTCTAGAGAACATGCTGGGCCATGCTGTCCCTGAGGATGGAGCCTGCGAAACCAGGCTCTGGTTCCTTCCAGTTTCAAATTCTAGGCATGAGGGGACAGGAAGGGAGAGCAGAAAGACCCTGTGTTTCTGAGTCCAAGGGCCCAAGGACCAGGAAGACTCACTCACCCTCTTGATCTTGCCGAGGTAGTACAGCCCATCTGTCCACCGGCAGAGCACATACTGTCCCTCTGTCAGCTTGGACATCAAGTCTTTGAAGTTCTCTTTGGTCTTCGGCAGGCTCCCCTTGTTAGGGAGATGGCTGCTGGCACTATAAGCTTCCCGAGTCCCTGGTTCCAAAGCTTGGGTCTCCATCAGCTTCTGAGGACACCAGGAGAGAAAGAACAAGATTTTTATCTTGTTCCCTGCCCCTGAAATCCTGTAAGGTTCTCAGATATATTTATTGACAGAACAGCTCTGGGAGGGAGATACTATTATCCCATTCTAAGGATAGGTAAACTGAGGAGAGGCAAGGAAAGTGGCTGGTGACCCAGAGGCAAGCCATGACTCATGTCAAGCTGGCTCTACACCACACCATGCTCCTCTTCTCAGAGAGTGCCTCTCCTCACCATACCTGAGCAAAGGCTCCACCCACGGATCTGAACCCACTACCTGTCCGGGAGCCTGAGGCCTTGTTCTGTATGCAAACACTCTGGGCTCAGCTCTGAGGAAGCAAACACTTCAAGTCTCCCCTGGACGTGTTCAGAGGAAAGCCCACCCACCTGTGAAAAGCCGTGGGGTGGCTTGGGAACCGGGGTGACATAGCCACGAGCCATTTGTAACCCCTTTCTGTTCCCCACTAGTGGATGAGCTCACAGGAACCTGCCCAGGCTTTTGTCCACATGTCCACGTGTCCACGGGCTCAAGGCAGCTCAGCCATCCCCACACCAGCTAACATAGCCGGCTCTTCCCGTCCCATCCAAGGGCCGCCTTTGCTTCTGTTTTCCCGGTAATGGTGTCACCACGGCCACAGGAAGACTTCTCCAGCCAGTGGGCTGCCACAGAGGCTCCTGGCACGGTGGCCTGAGCACCCCTGCCGAGCATCCTGCCCTCTCCCCCAGCATGCCCTGCTTCCAGCTCTGCCCTCATCTTTTCCATCAATGAATTCATTCACCTTTTCCATGCCTGTTTCCTGAGCCTGTTGCTTCCTACTGCCTGGCACCCGGAACGCAGAGTCCCCAGGTCACCCCAGCTTCCCTGCTCCCCCACCGGAATCTCCCAGAGAACGTGTGGCTCCCCAAACTTTCACCAGTGTTCCGTTATTGCCTCCTCTCCTCTGTGGGCTCACCGGGCACCACACCCCTCCATACACACACGTCCTTACGTTGCAGTGTGAGGACCGCAGGGCGGTCCTGCTCTGGTTTCCTCCCTCTGCCTAGGTGCCGGGCACCTGGTGTCCGGCCGGCTGACAGGAAGACAGCTCTGGGTGTGTTTGCATGTGAGTGCCTCTTCAGAGACTGCAAGGACACAGTCTATGGCAATGTGCCAGTCCGTATGTGAAACTAAATACACGTGGGTATGTGAGGGCCCTGGGGCAATGGAACACAGTCAGGGTCTTGGCTTTCCAGACCAAGCAGGCTGTCTACCTCCTTGCCTTCTCCTTCCTTTTACTCCAGGGCAGAGGCACAAGCACCAGGTAGGGGCTGTAGCCAGCACTCTTGCCCTCTTCTCTGGCGCTTGGCTCTTAGGGAGCTGCGAGGTCCCTGCTCGCTCCGGGCCTGGAGCGGGACCGGCCTCGGCAGGTTCACAAACTGACGTTTCCTCCCCCGCTGAGCTTTTGGGGGCAGGCCGGGTCGCTGCGCCCCCGAGGCCGGGCTGGGCCCCCGGGTAGCGGCCCCCCCACCCCGCCTCCATCCTCCTGGAGCGGGCCCCCGCGGGCTGTGATTGGCTGATTCAAACCCGTCGCCACAGAAATGCTTGTTTGCGGGTTCCCGTCGGCGTCCAGTTCAAATCCGCGGCACTGGGCGCGCGGGGCCGGGAGGGGGCAGGAAGCGCGGATGATTCATGCGCCGAGGCCTCTCCAGGGCGGCCGTTGGCTTTTTAAAAGGGTGTTCGGGGGGAGGACAGCTTGCAGCAGGGTCCCCTTGGGCTTCAGCCGCTCCTTTCCTCAGTTGCTCCAATTGCCAACTTTCCCCGCTCCCAACCCGTCGCAGCCTGACTTTGGACGTGAGCAAAATCCCAAATGCCCTCTTATCCTCCCCTCCATAGCTTCAAATGGGAAAGAAAAGACGCGTGGCCACAAACGGAGACCTGTCACCCACACCCTGCCCTGGGCTGGGGATGTGGCTGGGATTCCCGCTGCCCTGAGGGTACCGCTCGGGCTCCATCTCGCTCCCCATCCCACAAGCGCGCAGCTCCGCAGGACTCCACCTCCGCCCGGGGATCGTAGGGCTCAACCTAGCGCCAGAGGTTTCTAGAAGGGGGGTCGTGTGCAGGGATTGAAGCGTGAAACGCGGAGTCTCCCGGGGCGCCCGTAGCGCGGGACTTACCGCGAGGCAGCGCGTCCGCCGGTCCCACTTGGAGTCTGGCCACCAGGCACATCGGCGGCAGCGGTGCGCTCGGCCCGCGGCTGCCCGGCCGAGTGTCCGCCCGTGGGGCCGGGGTAGGGGTCTCGGC